GAATCGTCCAGACGCATTTTGCGGAGACGCGAATTAGGAAAGGCAGCGCATGCAGTACGTGGGTGCACGCGACAGTCTGAAACGTATAGTGCCAGCATAAGAGAGGCAAGTCAAGACTCATGAAATATTAAGAATGGGTCTGACGATATCGAAGGGGAGAATCGCTACAGTTTGAGTGGTACCTTGTATTCTTTTTTTTTGTTTTTAAGCGGGGCTGAAGGGGTGGGTATATATATGCCAAGATTTAGCCTTGCAAAATGGCTTACGGTTTGGAGTTAATGGCCGTGGGAGGGTCGTAAAGGTTCATCGACGAGGGGTTGTCGTCAAGGTGGTTTTAATGCAGCTTCTTAACGACACGAGGCTTGATCTTACGATACTGCCCGCGGGGACTGAGTGGAGCGTAACTGATGAGGAGCGAGCGAGCGAAAATGAACGAGACCGAGTCGGCTGGTGTGGTGGGGGTGAAAAGGTCATAGTTCGGCTGAGAGAGTACTGGTAGCGATGCCTGAGGTTGGGTCGAGCTTTCCTTTTATCCGAGACAAAAGTTGAAGAATTCTTGGGCGATGCTGCAACCTCTAATGGACGTGGAAATATCGCGGTGGCGTAACTAGACTTCACGTGGGTACTTAGCGCCGAATAAAAGTACACTCCCCCTGGCCCCCTCCCGCCCTTAGCCTTTTTATATTCCCTTCCATTATTCAATTAATAGCGAGAATTTATTATCGTCCAGGTGGGGAGGTAGAGCGGGCGGTCGGCGTGAATTAAATAAAAGACATGCATTGTTCGCGCTAATGTTATGCCAAGCGCGGGTGAAACGTTTTCGCGGGTCCGTACTGCACAACCACCCGTTACGAAGGGGCGTAAAATTGCCCGGGCGTTTTCTCGCTCTCACACCCGTGCCTTTTAATTTTAACGAGCGACAATCAAGTCCCGCCTAAAAACCCCTTTATTAATTGCCATAATAGCAATGGCTCCTTTATGTGTATACAAAAAGAAAAAAAGAGAGTAATAAAAAAAAATCGTCCAGCTAACACCACGAAAAGGGTTATGGCGCCATGCGCCAACGAAATTTGAAAGCCAGTCAGCATTTATTTTACTTTTGCGCCTGTTAAAGCCACCCGGTTATTTTTTATTCGTCTCCCCCCCTTCCCTTCCCCCATCCCGTTATTACTATCGCTCGTTCAAAAAATCCCGTAAGTCTTGTCAATTCGACAAACCTCGTTCGCCGTTGCATTTCAGTTATCGCGAATGCACCATATGCCTAACGCCACCCTTAGCACTATTGATCCCGATGCTCGTGAGTTCTCGAAACAACCCGGTCAAGGACGAGCTGCCGGCATCGTCGCAGGTAGGAGTCAGCCGAACGTAAAATCATAAGCCTCCGCCAAGCCACGAGAGACATTTGCATCGGATATATAACTACGACCGAAGTGGACTGGGTGTGCTTGCCGTTATAGAGGCGGGTGCGTTATACCGGGCACGCGAGAGTGGTAGGGTTGAGCGATGATACCAGAGACAAGTCGGCCGACGAACGGAGAGGGTGAACGGAGGATCGGATTGATTAATAGGGGGTACATCTGTTACCGGCGAGCGGGAGGGTGGATGGGCAATAGTCTAGAGGGAGGGATGCCTCGCAGTTAGCATTAATCACTGCAACACGCCGCGCGGCCCGACTGGCTGGGTCCCGTATAATGCCCACTACCATAGAATGGGCTCGATCGGTCCCAAATCCCATAGTTGAATTTCTATACACCCCTGCTGCTACACGTAGGAACCCACCTACCCCTGGCACAAGATGAACTTGATCAGGGTCAATATTTTGCCAAGTAGCCAAGTGTCGAGTGACCATCGAACGGCACGCGTTATTTTCCTGCACCCTCTACCTATACTATACCCCCTAAGAGCCTGGTACACCAAACCCTGCCCAACCATACGCTACCGACTAACTAAGGGTAGCTAAAGGAGTAACCGGGTCTCGGGCATTGTCCTCGCCATTGTAATTAATGAAGGGTTACAATACCGAGCGTGACTCCTCGAAGGCTTCCACAATCGCCAACCCCTATTTCTTGGCCGATCATGTTCCCATCCCTTAGCTCTCGAACCACTGCCAATTCAAACACTTTCCAGGAGCAGCCTGCTTTCAAGGTATAGTGGACGCACAATGCTGTGGGAATATATATATATATACACCCTCGTACCTAAGCTCGCGAATGTCTTACGTTGAGGCTATCGAAAGTTTCTTGAGGGATGTTGAGGGTTCTATGCAGTACCTACGGGGATAGCCTTGCTGAAATGTCCATTTGATTTCGTGCCTAGTTGGACGCAATGTTATCCCATCTATCATTATCGACTGACTGATTATCATTAACTGGTTCGCATTGCCACTATCATCTCCATTACCAACGACGGGCAATTAGTCGACTATGAACTTGTGAAAGGTTCCCGGTTTCGGTCTGTACAACTTTTACAACCCCATATTGATCTCTGATGCGAAATTTCTGTAGATACTTTTAGACCTTACAGTACCAGATACGTATACGTTCCATGATGTTATCGACTTTTCAGCCTTGCCAGCTCGTTTCTCACGGCTCCTGATAACCGCACTGTCTATCGGGAGTTTTAAAAATATCATCACAACTTCAGTAATTAACGATAACAAGCACTACTGACAATTGCCGATCAACATTGAAATAATGTGGTTACCGGGTATCGAAAGTAGGGCAGCGTGCATAAGGTGATATTTATAATCAAATTATCTTATAACATGACCGTAGATAAATTTCTTTCTTTTTTTGTCTTTTCAATTTGTTACGTATGCTATATATACATTGGATAGACGGAACAGTGCGAGCAGCTTGTGTAACTGTTTGGGTGCGTCGTCCACGCGTACGCGCGTATTACGAGCTTTACAACAATAGGCAACCGGGGCTGGCATTGTGCGTAGAACATCGCAATACGTCAGAGCCTTTAGTCCCGTGCGGTAACGACCTGGCGTTTATATCGGCCCTGAGAAAATTACCTCAATTAGCCGTGCAAAGTCTGTCGCGATATTTGAACGCTTCTGGAAGGCTTCGAGGGAAGAGAGCCTGAGTGGCATTGCAAGGAACGAGCGTAACTTTGTCACGCATTATATTCGACACAGAGAAACATGCACGGCATTCCTTTTGTTCTTGGATCCTTTTGACGTTAGCGGTTTTGTACCGCTTGACATTTTCCTTTACTTATTCATGCCTCCCCGTCACAGTCCCAATCCGTGCCCGTCTGTGGTTCCGGTTTGCTCCTGCGAGATTAATGTCGAGATTTGAAGGAAGTTTCGTAATAAAAAAAAATTATTTCATTCCTACAGACCGACTGATTAGATGGATGGGGTCGGATTATAAGGGCGCACAGAGGTTTCGTCATTTTAAACGAACAAGAGTGACTCCTACCCTCGCTCGAGGACGTAAATTTTTAATGAATTTAACAGCTTAGATTTTTTTGCCTTTTTTTTCACTTCTTCCATACCCACCTCAACCGTAGCCTCCTTGTTGTTCGAGGCGCGGTAAAACTTGAAGCAGGAATTACGAGCCCTGCTACCCGCTCCTGGGTCATTATAAGAATAATCGCATTAAACTAAAGGAGCCGTCTAATGAAAGGAAGTAATATTAAGGCATTATGAATTTGGCGAGGCCCCTTTGTCATATCTTTTCCCCGTGGCAATATTTTAATTTTCTCGGCTCATAATCCTCTTAAACGATTTCTCCCGAAAGTTCCTCGTTTACCCAAATCTGACCAAGCGATCTTCACCGAACGTACCCAGGATCCAGAATGGATCGTTATCCCATCGGTTTATAGGATCAGCCATGTATATAGGTATCTATTACCAGGATCTTTCCGTTCGATCTCACGCGTTTGCTATCCAAGGATCGACCACGTGACATCGAGAATCGAGGAGATGTTTATCGCGCCCAAGGAAGTCGAAGTATGCTCACAGGTGAAGATCCTTTCACCGTAGGATCCAGGGTCCATCGGGTATCGAGAGGATGGACCTGATAAGAATTGAAAGTCGCAGTTGTCACCGGACGTCGATCTCGATCGTTGAATATAGTAGCTAGAGAAATTGATGGTTAACGACACCAAACCTCGGTTGTGTCCAGAGATCGAGAGCGCGGCAACCGTAAGCATAGTTTACAAGACGACGACAGACGATCTCCATGTGTCGACTATCAGAAAAGCTTCCAGCGGAGTCTGACAAGTTGTCAGCGAGATGTCGGGCTGCGTGCACTTCAAGTGTAACGAAACATTAGACAGCGACGTAAACACAGGAAGCGATGACGAGGTGGAGGCATTGCGAACGGAACGACGCCCTCCAGGAAGTGGCGACCCCCGTCGTGGCCTTCTTGGATCGTCCCCTTGTCCCTCGTGAGACCGACAGAGAGAGAGTCTCTCTCGCAGTCATTTTTTCCATGACGTCCCTAAGTCACACACATACCGGGTGTACGTACGAAGCGGTCTGAGGCGTAAGGGACGCCGGGCGTCGGTAGATACCTTAAGCGGGTGCAAGAAATTGTTGATATTTCGCATCTGTAAAACGATACCGCGATGGATGCTGAGGCTCTTAAAATATTCCCGAGTGTACCGTTACAAATTTATTTGACACCGTACGAGACGTCGGGACGCTTTAAAAAGGTGTTCATAAAAACAGAAAAGGACGCCAGGGGCGCATACCCACGGCGGCAGATGTACCCGTTGGATGGTGAACGCGTTACATGCTCGTCATTACTAATTGCGGATCGTGTGTCGTCCCCGGTGACTTTTCGACTCTCGGCGCTCCCGACGTCTCCCGACGTCGACGCCGCGACGTCAAGCGGTCTCTGCCGGAATAATCGATCGGTACCACCTACTCCCTGTTAAAGGGCCACCGTATAAGAGGCCACGGGATTCGATTCCAAGTAGGGAGGCTCGACAGTCGCGTGCGCGTCGGCCGACTAATTAAATATCAAGAACGGTTAGCTCGATCACGGGCGTCTCGACGCCGTCCACCTAGTCGTCGACGGCAGCGACTCGTCACGAGTTTGACCCACCGTCGGGATCAATATCCCGGCCGAGCGTTAAATCTCTATTAGCCCTGGAAAGCAGTAGTACTGGGACCTAGTGGTGCTTCGTGGTTCACGGTATTCACTGTGCGCTATCCAGCCTGGATTAGAATTCTAATCTTTCCCTGCTGTAGCGTTGAACGTCACTGGCAGGAGGTTCGCTATGCGGTAACAGGTGAGCAGGAGGCCACGTTGCGCGACGGGTTATTGGAAGCGAGTGGTCTAGTGGTATTTCCCCACGAGACCAAATCTGGGGGACGATAAACCGTCACGGTACGAGGCGACCAGGACCAAGTTAGATACGGTGAGACGAAGTGGAATCAAGGTGGTAAATATATGAGTCCGATAAGTATGTAACATGGATACGTAACCCAGATATAGGAAGATAACGACAATCTGCTATGACGTTACGGGACGCGTTATAAATTTACCGAGAAGCTCAAATATACTATAGGAGACTCTTCCTATACGGTGGTACAATGCCAGATGAAGGTGCTCAAATGGGTCGTAGGTCATGGGTGTCTTGTTTTAGGTAGGTGTGTAAGTGGTGGTCGGGAGGGCCGGCCGAGGGCGCAAACGCGAACGCCCTGCAGTCGAAACGGGAACTATCGCAATTTAATATCGATCCTGTAATTCTACGAGAGCGGTGCCTGCTTCTCGCCGCCCTCTGACTCTCTTTACTCTTTAGTCCGCGTCTTCGTGTTACTCTCCTTCTACTCTCAGAACCCACCGCCGATCCTCACGGCAGTTCCTCACTTTCGAACTCCGACCACCAGCGAGTCAGTCGCAATCAATATGGCATCCTACTTATCTCCATACCACATTCGCCTACCTTTGCAAGACTAGCTCTATATATATATACATATATATGTATATATATAGCGTTCTACTGGTACGTGTCCGAAGCCGTACCCAGCACGTATACATATATATAACTTTAGTATATGCACGATACCACTAATGCACCCCTTCTAGAGTCACCCCCTACCAAGGTAATCATCCCTTATAGTTCCTATACCTTGGCACGTATATTCATACTATTTTCTTCAACGTTCTGTTGTTCTGTACCCTCCGATTTGCCAGCCACGCACACACAGCCCTATCCTCACGCGAGGGACGCATTATCGTAGAATTTCCATAAATTTTCGGAAACGCGACTCACTAGCTTCGCGTTGCCCGCCACGAAATTTTATCGATCCCTCTAGAGCCCTGAGATTCGAGAACCTACGTTTACGGTCTTCGAGAGACCCGACTGGGAAATATAATTGGGCTCGCTCGTTTAATACTGTATTCGGTGAACACTATTCGCCACCCTAAATGTATAACGATAAAGCGCTCGATTTGGTTTGCAAGCAGTCCTAAGTGCGTCGGGGCTTGTCGATCGAATGCGTATCTATGAGGGTGCTCGCATGTCAGGAAGAGGAGAACGCTTATAAGAGGTAGCTGCGGGTTCGGTGGGGTGGGATCATTTCCTTTGGAAAAAAAATGGGTATTTCGAGATATCGAACCCCCCCTCCCCCGTTCCAAGGATCCAGATAGACATAGTATTGTATATGTCTACCGATAAATGTTACTCAAAATTTTCGGTCCTCTTCCTCATTTTTTTTCAAGTCTTTCTTTAATTTCCCGCGGGCCGCTAGTTGTTTCGTTGATATTGAAGGCATTAGATAAACCTGTGACACGGGACCTATTTTACACATAAAGTAACAAATGTCACGTGACACGCGAGATAAAGTGCCGCCGCCTAGACACGCCCGCATCGGTCACACATAGTAATTACGTGTACGAGTAAAAAATATCAGTTCTGCGAAACTTTATTTGCAACAATAATTTATGAAAAAAAATACTTTTTTTTTGTAAAAATAAATATTTTCCTGATGATCAAATTTTTCTTATTTTCAGAAACCTTCATGTACCGTATGTATACATATACTGACGTGAGAAATGTACGTAACAATGAATTGGAAGTGAGTAATGTTTTGCATGACCCAGAATTTAAGGTAAACCTACCAGCTACTGACCGGACCGCATTACGTGGACATCGTAAGTACGAGCCGCCAGACGTTTTCGCTGTACTTGCAAATTTTCAGGAGGTCGAACGTGGAGGACGAGGTTGATTGCAATGCAACGGCCGTAGGGAATTCGCGCGAACAGATGCGCCGCACGATTCTGGCTCCGATGTATCGCGTTTGCTAATCCTCGACATGGCTGACAGTATAATACACCGCTTTGCAAACAGTGGCGGGACGAGAAGCAGGAATACCAGAAGCACCGGGAGTGCTAGGTACATTGATGCACAGTAGCTGTTATAGATTCCCAATTCTCATTGCCCACATTAGGGATCCATCGTTGTCATTGCATCTGGAATTCTGACCATCAGGATCCATATTCCAGTATCTACATATATGAGCCCAGTAAGGTACACAGAGCGATAGAGACACGTGGTAGAACCACCCTGAGGTGATGTTTGACGTTTCAAAAAATTAATCAAGTCCAAAGCTTTTTTTTTCATTTCTGAATATGTTCACGAAAATATTAATTTGGGGTCAGATGACAGTCGAGACAGCTTATCAACCCTCTTTGGATTCAGTTTCCTCCCTAATAATTTTACGTACTCTCATTCCCTTTTGATTGTCTTGTACCCGTTTAATCGAACTGTAATTCTTTTTTAAATTAAATATCTGCATTAACCTTTGACTCGTCTTCCCAATTTATATTACTGCAATAAATATCCTTGGTTATAAAAAAATTCTACCCGTACAAAAATGAAAAGAAAAAGAAAACATTCTCAACGAGGCAATTTCGGCGCACGTTATAATAAAGAAGAAAAGAGAATAGACAAGACCGTTGACAAAAAGAACCCGAAGAACGTCTCTCGGTACTCGTGAACCTCTCAAGACGTAGTTTAGAATCGGAACGCAGTACGTACGTCATTCACGGATCAGAACTGCACAATGGATTGAACAATGAGCGAGACCTGGAGCCTCCGTTGAGAAATACAGAGCGCTCCTGAATATGAGCCCTTTCGAGCCCTTGCACCTTCTCGAGACCTTTCTCGTTGTCGGGTGTACCTCGGTGCCATGAATAAAGGGCTTCCTGGGAACCAGATAATCTCGCTTATAATGCTGATCTCAAGTACCGCACCTCGGGGTCCCACTCAGGCATCAAGTGCCTGTCGCCGCTAAAAACGCTTAGCCAAATAGAGAAATTCCCCAGGTCCCTCGGGTCTCACAAGGTAACCAGGAGGAAGCGGTTCTTCGATATATATATATATATATACAATATACTATACCACACTGGTCTTCTATATCCGTAATACCTTACAGTGTCTTCGTGCTTTCTCTTCGTAGGATCGACTGCTATAAATATCTCATTGAAAAGAAAGTAGTAGGAATCGCGCGTGTACCGACGGAGGTGTCTAATGGAATTACGATACCGATGTAAAACGAGTTTATTCCAAGTGAAGGAGAGATCTGGGATGCTGGATCCTCATCTGCTAAAGGATACGTGGGCGAGTGTCGATTAACATTCGAATAAAGGTACACATATATACAATGTACAGGGTTATTCATTTGAAAGGTAACCAAACAATTTGACAGCTGTCACTACGTCACTTTGCCTAAGCGATCAATCGCCAATACTTAACAAGGAAAACAGAGGAAGAAGTTATCGCGAATATATTTTTCGCTAACTCACATTTATCTCCAACGATAGCACAGGACAGTTGTCAAGTGTGACTGGTCCGTTCAAGCTGAATAGCCCTGTAGGTCGTTGATCGATACCCGCAATTAACGATGAATAATCGGCCTGTAACGAGCGGCTGTAATTTTCACATTCGTGACTGTAATTGAGAAAAGTTACATGGTAAGTGCGACATCAAAAATCCGTAGAGTTATCTCGGATGCGTCTAACGGGGAGACACGCTGCTTTGCCTTTAGAGGGCCTGCGGCTACAAGCGTATAGGCGCTAAGTGGCTGATAAAGCGCTTTAAAATCCAATTAGAACCTTTTAATACTTATCTGAGTCTCGCGGGTAAAGTTAGCCCGTAGCGACGCTATTTTATAATTTCCACGTAGGCAGGTCGTACCGTAATTATGCGTACTGCAGCAATTTATCTCGAAGCATGGATAACGACGAGGGAGCCAATAAAGGGGTCTGGTTGGAGAATAAAACAACGAGTGTAATATAAGAATGGACCAAAAAAAAGAACCAAACTAAAATAGAAGGTAGTCAGAGTGATAAAAAAAAAGAGAGAGAGAGAGCCTTACGTAATAACCATTGGCGTCTCTGTCTGCATCTGCGCCTAACAAAAGAACCTGGTCCGGGCAGCTTTTAAAATATTCATAGCAAACGAATGAATGGACGGCAAATAAGATAATTGGGCGATGATAAAGCGCGGGTGACTTAACCACGCGAATCATTGATTACCACGTGTATGCAGTATCGGGTTAGGTTAGTAAGTTTCGCCAGATAAGACTGAGACGAGTTTACAATGGTCGACGGGGGGACTGCACGCAATAATTTTGAAAATCGTCAAGAAAGCGTCGCGTCGATCAGCGTTAGCTTGACAGGGTCTTGAGGAGGAGGGGGG